TGATGATGATGATGATGATGATGATGATGATGATGATGATGATGAACATGTTGGCGATTTTGATGATGTCGATAAGGAACATGTTGGCGATTTTGATGCTTTTTCACCTGGACATTCTCAATATCTCGCATTTTCACCTGGACATTCCCAATATCTCGCTTTTTCACCTGGACATTCCCAATATCTCGCTTTTTCCCTCGATGGTGATGGACTTAGCGGACCTGATGACAAGGGACGGTGCGCTCGATCGATTTTCGATGTATATATTCTTTTACACGATCCATGTCTTATCACTCGTAATCGAAATTTACGATTGAAAAAAAAAAGTTATATACACTGTTTATATACACTATCAGGTCGATGTCACATCGCGACGCGTTCAAAGAGAAGCGCCGATGTTCGACTGCTAAGCAAAACATAACTCTTCTACAGTAAAATGAAAGTGATACTCCAGTGAGAAGTATGAAAACACGCTGCGTTCCCACAATCCTTAAATTTCTTCGAAGAAGTGTCGATAACGATTTTTTTCTGAGAAGAGATAGCGAGAGAGATCGATGACATGTAGCGACGCGTTAAAAGAAGCGTTGATGCTGTTTATATAAACTAGAATCGCTCGCAATGCTGCCTTATCTACTTCTAAATAAAGTGTGGCCCAATAGGCAAAGGGACAAAGAAGTCACAAATGAAATATATAATGAGTTATAAGCGCTCAGTTCCGCAGTTGGTGCCCTGGAAGACAAACGAACGAATTGGTCGTAATAAGAATAATGGAAAAAAAGTATGGTTGATCATCGTACGAACGTTGAGGACATAGCCAACGTAGTCGAGCACATTAAAAACGTGGATCCTTGTAAATATAATAAAAAAATATTGTGAACAGTATTGTGAGCGAGACATTACTGAAAAATATGTAGGAAGACTGTAACGTAGATGATGTGTTGTATGTTCTCGGTAATCTGCAAAAAAGAGACATAGGTGCACGAATATCGCCAGTGCAATTCCTACGCGATCGTGAATTAGATATACGTGGTGAGAAACATGGAACAGTTATCAAAGAGCCCGTTTCTGACTGGTCTTTACTCGCGCAACAGAAAGTGTATCCACGGTTACGAGACAAATGTTACGAGGACGATGAATATGAAAAGAGATATTGGTGGAATAAAAATGTCAATGTAATAAAGAACGATTATTATTGGGCGAAAAAAATCGCAGAGAAGAACCGAGGTTGGTGCATCTGCATTTAAGATTCCTGCAGGTAGTGAAAAGTGTGTCGAACTGCTGATTATTGATAATATATGGATGGAGTTTCGTGATCGCGATCTTGCACCAAAACTATTTTTCGACAGATGCGACGATTAATGCTTTGAGTGTGAACAATGCATTTTTGCAAACAAACATAATGAAAAAGTGTTAGAACGTTATGATATTCTAGATATATCGCCATGCTGCAACGTGTGTGAACGAGTCACGTGCAAGTGCTCCGTGGAAGAATGTGATTTAAAGAAAAAAAAAAACATGGAAAATCACGAGCGAGTAGAACGCGAACTGTTGGAGCAGTGCAGCCAGGTCGCTACTCTGGTGGAATGTTTCGCGTGGCTGCAACGATGCGACGAGTGCATCGAGCGGCTCGAAGAACTTTGTCGTGCTAAGCGTCCGCGCATCGCCGTTGGACACAGACAATCCATGGTGGCGAGGATCGCGCGACTCGCGGGTGCAAAGACACGATTAGAGCGACGTTTCGTGCACGTTGGTGGCGGGTACGCGAATCGCGACCAAAGATCTCTCGTCTGGCGAGAGAAAAGCCGTATATCGACGGGTGCTATGGTCAACGTGGATTACATCGAGCCGCGACGATTTTTGGAAGACGCGAGAGAAATAGTGCTCGAACGTGTGCGAGACGCCGTAGAAAGACACGGTAGTGCAAAAGTGAACACCGCGTTCAACGGCGAGTTTGCGACGAAGGATAAACTTGCTAATAAGAGCATAATTTCAAAGAACAGCGAGATATACCGATACACCGATTTGCGCGAGTGGTACGAGCAGCATATCATCGAGCTCACGTTGACATCACTCGAAGAGTTCCAGGAACGTGATAGCGTGAGCATTGTCGCGAATCCTCAATTTGGTAGTGAATGTGAACAAACTAAATTCCATGCGGGATGTTACTTCGAAGTACCGCGGGAAATAGCGACGAAACGAGCGGTGATCAATGTTAGTACGATGGACAATGCGTGCTTCGCGTGGTCGGTGGTCGCCGCTCTGTACCCGGCTGAAAAGCATACGGAGCGAGAGTCATCGTATCCACATTATACGACGGTGCTGAATCTCGCGGGTATCGAATTTCCGATAACGTTCAAAGACGAAATTCGAACGGCTGAACGCGGTGTCGATCAATGTATACGGCATCGAGAATAAACAAGTCCTTCCTCTACGGCTCACCAGTGACAAGAAAGACAAGCATGTCAATCTCCTGTACATGCAAGATCCACGTGACAACGGTGTCAGCCACTTTGCGTGGATCAAGAACCTGTCGCGTCTCGTGAGATCACAAATTACCAGGAACAATAACAAGAAATATTTCTGCGACCGGTAAGTACACATGAAAAAATTATTATAATTTCTCATCTTATTATATAATAAAATATAGATAACTATTATAATTTTTTTTTTTTTTTCAGATGCTTGCATTACTTCAGCACGAATGAGAAATTGCAGTCGCACACAATGGACTACCAGAAGATCAACGATTGCACTATTCGACTGCCGAGCGAGGATGAAAAGTGGCTCGAATTTGGGAACCTCTGCAACAAGAAGCGCGTCCCATTCGTTGTCTATGCCGATCTGGAGTGCGTTTTACGGAAGACGGAACCCAACAGGGAAGATGCGTCGTCGTACGCATATCAACGGCATGAGGTATTCAGCATAGGCTACTACGTGCGTTGCTCGTACGATGACGCATTATCGTCGTATCAGTTCCGTCGCGATAAAGATTGTATAGCGTGGTTCGCGCGACAACTCAACGATTTGGCGCATCGCGTGAAAAATATCGTATCCGCCAACGTGCCCATGGAAACATTGTCAAAAGAACAATGGGGAGCGTACCGTAGCGCGGCGCGTTGTCACATTTGCGAGAAATCATTCGCGTCGGATGATACGCGGGTACGCGATCATTGCCACTTAACCGGTAGATACCGCGGTCCAGCGCATTCAAACTGTAATTTAAATTATAAAAATTCATTATATATTCCGATCGTTTTTCACAATTTATCGGGCTACGATGCGCATTTTATAATTAAGGAAATCGCTACAGCATATGAAGGACACGTAGATGTATTACCGATAACCAAAGAAAAATACATCTCCTTCACAAAACATGTCGATAGCACTAAAGATAAAACTGAAAATAATTCTCAAAAAAATTGCGTAAAATTACGATTTATTGATTCTTTCAAATTTCTCAGTACAAGTCTCGATAAATTAGCGTCGTGTCTCGATAAAGACAAATTAAAAATTATACGTTCAAAATTTTCAACACTATTGGATGATGAATTTGAATTACTGACTCGTAAAGTCAGTTACCGAATCGAAAATCTGAGTCCATACGATGACAAACGATACATCGTACCAGACTTGACGGAGACGTTACGTGGGGACA